GTGTGTGTGTAGATTTGTGTGGTGGAAGTGTTAATGTCCTTGTTGCCCTCTGTACTCTTGCTCTAAGTCTTACATGTCTAGACATGTCAATATTCTCTTCCTTTTAAAAAGTTTCGGTGAAACACCCTTTATCTCTGTCTCACACACACACACACACACATAAAAAGAGTGACGCCCTCTACACACATATGCACACACACAAACAAACACACTCAGTAACTACACACACCTCACACAAATTACACAGTGAGTAGCAGGTCGAAGCGGCTGCGTCTGATAAACTAAAGCTTTTCTGATCTTCGCTCCTCAAGGAAAATGTCTTTCACAATCAAGTCATTTTAATCATTTGAACCAAGTTAAGAAATTATTATTTGATCAGAAGTTAGTTATGAAATCGTTATATTGAAATTAAAAGGGAAAAGATTAGTATATCCTCGTACCGAAATTTATCAAAATAAAATTCTGTGGCTGTGAACGTTGGTTTCCTGAGTGTGCTCATGAATTGAAAAGATCCCTGTTTATTATAATTTACATGTATTGTTTATAGATTAGAATGTTTTAGCAAGTGTCTGAAAATCTCTCTGCACAGATTCCAGCACATTTCTTACACTCTCAGTTTTCAGATCTAGAAAGTGTTGCATCACAACACCACACAATGAGAAGTCATGCATTTTAAATGGAAAGCGTCTTTCTTATTCATATATTCAAAGCAACATTTCTGAGTTTTGCCATACTGTAATATCACAAGGTTGGCATGGAAACAAGCATACAGTATGTGATGAACCCAAACACCTCTACTTCTCAGTGGACAGCTTTCTTACACCCAACACTGTGCACACAAAGCTGGCAAAATATTTTCACAACAGACTTTTGCCTGAAAAGACGCTTCAGAAACAAGAGACATAAAATTTCTGATAAGGGCGACATCACCTCCATTTTCATCCCCTCTCAAACAACACTGTGTTCCCTCTGACGTTTACAGTGACTCTCAGTTAGCTGATGTTATGAATTATGACAATAAACATACTATACTTCCCTAAATCACCCGCGGGCCCTGAAATAGACTGAAGCACGGGGCAGAAAATGGCCCTGGATGTCCGACAACATTTTCTACAGTTTATATTTTGTATTCATGTGGCTTCTCCTTTCTTTCTGTAACTATAACGTGCATAAATGCAGTTGCCTTCACCCTGAGTCAACAGTGGCTGATTTCATGAGTGCATTTCCAATAGCTCGCTGAAGAAATTAGCATTTCTTAGAAAACAACTGAGCTCGCAGCCCAAAGCAACAGAATATATCTCCACTACTTATATAATACGAATAAAAACGCGGAATAACAACATACTAACTTCAGTAAAACACTCCCGAAAAAGCAGATCAGAGGGAAACTTGTGCTTTTCTTACACTGCGGGCAAACAATAGTAAAGTGTACATGAGTCATAGCCATAGCACTCTGATGACACTTGTGTAACCTGAGAGAGATACTGAAAGTGAGAGGCACTAAGCCAGAGCACATAAGGCAGAGCTCATCCCTTCCTACTCTAAAGCAGCAAAACTGTAGCTCAGCAGACTTTGCATCTGACAGGGACAAAGGTCAAAGCCAGACAGGCAGGATGATCTCCCAACCCACTCCCCGTCCTTCCTTACCAGTCCCTGGGCGTCCCATGATGATTTGCTTGCGTGGAGCAGGGTGCGGCGACTCAGCTGGCAGTATGAGTGGCAGCAGGGCGGTGGGAGTGGGGTGACAGGCTACCGGCTGTGGCAGTGCCCCTCCAGAGGGGTCCTGGTGTCCCTCGGGTTTCCTCTCCCTCTCCCTGCCTCCAGAACCGGAGGATGACAGAACTGAGCCCAATGAAGTGGCCATTGAACCAGGGGTGGAGGGGCTGGAGAGGGACGTGTGGCCAACCGTGGCTGGAGTCAGGGACTGGAGGGAGACATTGAAAAGAACTGATTAATAGGAATAATATAGAAGATGTATAATCTTTTTCAAAATTATAACAAAAAAATATTAATCCTCTAAATCAGGGGTATCTAAGGTTTTTGAAAAAACAAGAAATCGCGATTTTCTTACCGAGCTGGAGGTGACCAGGACAAGTGTGGATGTGGGGCTGCGCAGGAGAACTGCACCGTTGGTGGTGGCCCCGTTGATGGGAACAGGCGCCTGCAGGCCCGGGGGAGCTGTGTGTTGGGGCTGGCTGTGCTCCCTTGACCTGCTTCTCTCTCTCCTTCCTAATGGGCCATCAGAGAACTTGGCCAAGGGGACATCAGGGTTGCGGACAATTACTGGGGAATCACGAAGAGGAACAATGCGGCGTGGTGAGGGTTCCTGGGGCAGTGGGGAGGGAGGAGTGGGAGAGACCAGCATGGGCGGAGGTGTGGAGGCAGCGGAGGATGGTGGTCTGCTGGTGGCGCTACGGGACCGGGGGAAGGGGAGTGAGGAGGGAGTTGTCGGCTGACTCAGTGGGGAGAGGACTCTGAAGGCTGCAGGGCTGTGGCCGAGGGGTGGCTCTCCCACCACCCCTCCCGCTATCCCCACTAGCTGATGGTGCTCAGGTTTGGTCTGGTAGTCTTGGACTGTAGGCAGTGGAGGTGGCGGGTGAGTGTCCAGCTTTCTTTTGCTAGGGCTCATGGGGACTGTAAAAGTGAGGTTGGTCTGAAATGTGGGCACTATCCCCGACAGGTGCCGCTCTCGCTCAGCACCTGGTGTACCCATCTTAGTGCCACTAAGCTGGCGATGGCGCCGTGGAGTCAGTGAGGCAGGGGCAGTAATAGGGCTGAAATTGGCAGGACGAAAGCCAAAGAGCGGAGAGGGTGAGGGCGATGGGGTAGGGGAGAAGGGCGACTGGTTGGAGATGGGAGAGAATGAGGGTGTGCCTGAGCGGGAGCTCCCCAGGGAGACCAACATACTCGCTGCCTCACATTCATCAAAGTCGAAACGAGAGAGGTCCTGAGGAAGCAAAGATGGAAGCACCAGGCGGGGACGTGAGTCTCCTCCACGGCTGCTGGCCTCACTGCTTTCCCGTGATGTCTCGTCCCAGTCAAACTCGGAGCTGGCTCTCCCACCACCTAGACGGAGGTCAGATGGCGTCAGAGTCCCAGTGCTGCTGGCTCCACCCCTCTCCCGGCCACCTCCACTGGCCTCCATCTCCTTGGTCCTCATTGAGAGGTGTCTGGAGCAGTATCCTCGGCGCTGAGACTCTTTAGAGCAGCCCTCCCGTGAGCACAGTCTCCTCCACTGCTTTCCATTGAACTTCTTACGGATGCCTGTAGGTGTGCACACCACATCTCCCTTCTTGTACTTTTGCTGGGCAGCTGTCAGTGGGGTGCGGGAACGTGAAGAGGAGGAGGACGTTGATCCTGATCCAGATCCACCACCTGCTGTTCCACTGTTAGAGCCTCCTCCTGAGGCTTTCTCTATTCTGGAGGAGGATGCAGTGGAAGATGAGAGGGGAGGAAGAGGAGGGAGCTGGGGAGTGGTAATGACAGAACCTGCTGCTGCTGGATCAAGGCCTAACAGGACAGGTGATGGAGTAGGGTGGGGGTTCAAAGCTAGGTGGGCGGAGGAGATCCCGATGCCCCGCACCACAGACAGGTGGGAATTGAGGTAGCCAGGTGGGGGCTTAGAAACGATGTGGCGGTGTTGGGGAATTGCCATTGGTTTGGCCCCAGATATGATTGCCCCCATTGGGACCATGTTAAAGTGGGACACCTCCATGTCTTCTTCAGGGGTAAGTGGCATGTATGGGTGATGTTGCTGCTGTTGATGCTGCTGCTGTTTTACATTCTCCCTTTCTCGTTCTCTTTCCTGTTTTCTCTGGAGGTCCCTCTCGAAGTCTTTCTCACATTCCCAGTCTCGACCAGGAGCCAGACTGAGGACTGACACTGGAGTTACTGGGGAGGCGATACTGTGGCCTGATGTGGATGAAACAGGGACCATGCCTGGGTAGCGAATCCCTCTCCCCAGCACTGGCCCCACTCCTGGGGCCATCCCTCGGCTCAAGCGGCAAACTTCCTGCTCCACATCCACCTCCTCCCTGTCCTCCCGCTCCCTTTCCGTTTCTCTGACCCTGTCTTCTTCCTCTCGTCCTCCTCCAGATGGCAAATCCAGGTCCCAAGGCGGTACAAGAAGACGGAGTGTTTGTCGGGAAACCCACACTGCCTGGGTAGCGGCGGCTGCCACTCTGCCATCTTCTTCCTCCTCCACAGAGTGAGGTTTTCCCTCAGACAGCAGGACACGATAGCGGTTGGCCACTGCAGGGTGCGTGTCTATCTGAGTCACCACACCTTCTCGGTACAGTTGCCAGTGACCAACACTGCCCTCCTCATTGCCAAACGGTACACACACACGGGTGCCAATAGGTATTGGATGGACACCAGGTGGGGGGGCATCTAGGATAATGTCCACCACCCCTGGGGGGCTGTCATGCCGATACGGATAACGACACATCATCTTCTCCCCATTCAGTTGCACCTCCAGGCTTCCAAATTCACCACTGACCTTACGGACCACCCCAGCCCGGAATACCAACTCTGAACTCCCCCCTTCATCCCTCCTTTCGTCTCCTCCCTCCTCATCACTTCTTCTCCTGAGCTGGCGAGCAAGGACACGTTGATTCTTCAGCCCTTTGGCCAGAGCATCTGACAGAGCGTCAGGGAGACTTGGTGGTGCGTGTGCAGACATCTGTGTAAGGGCGTGTGTGTCACCAGCCACCTCCAGGTCAGCTGAGTGCTCACTGGCGGTGTCTGTTGAGGAGCAGCGTGGCAGGGGGGGCGACACTCGCTCTGCATCTCTCACCCCTTCACCTCCTGCAGTCCTCTCCACTCCCAGCGACAGAGTGGGGGGTCCTGGGGAGCTGTCCTGAGGGCCCTCCCTTCCAGTCGTCCTGCTGTGGAAGTCGTCCAGCAGGCTCCTGCTATGAACGCTGCCATCGTGGTGCGCGATGTCACTTCCTGAACTTGTTGACCCGTGGTTAAGGACGCCACCGCTCAGAGGAAGAGGAGGAGGCGTGCTGGAGGCAGGGTTGCTATGGTTACTAGCAGTCGTAGACAAACAGTGTTCAGAGGTGTACTTCTTCTTGGGAACACGGGCCTTGAAGGTGGCTGTTTTTCGGCTGGAGGCGGGGTTTGGGCTGTTGTTGGCGCTTGGTGTACTACTGTTACTACAACTGCTACCACCACTGTCACTTTGGCTACTGCCACTCACAGCTGACCGCACCGATCTATCATCAGAGTGTGTCAGCATTTTCTCAGAATCCATCACGAGCGATGCCGTCGTCTCTGACCGTCCCTCTCTGTGAAGCCCCTCCCCCCCCGCAGTGTCCCGCTCTGTCATTGGGTCGGCCTGAGAGGACTCTGAGTGCAAATTAGACGAAAAACAAGAGGAAGGAGTTTGGTTTTGTGGGGATCTGCTTCTGTCTCTGTTCTCATCTGAGTCTCTCTTCTCTCCTCCTTCTAGGGCATCCCCCACTCCGCGACGCTTCCCCCCTTTGGCCCGGGTAGAGGGAGGCGAGCGACGGCCCTGCTTTTTAATCGGCTTCATCTTTTCATCTAGCTTGTCTTTTCTCCAAACAAGTCTTTTTATTTATTTATTCCAGAGAATCTCTTCCGTGGCGCTCCTCTCTCTCGCTCTGCCTAGTTTCTTCTTCTTTCCCCTCCTTTCGTTTCTATTTCCCTCCTCTGCAGAGCACCCTCTCTCTCATCCCGTCTTGTCTTTGTTGCGCGACTTCGGCACTCGTCCACTTTATTCCAGAGACCCTGAAAGAAAGGGAACAGGGTGTGTGGGTTACTCGTGTGGCAAACACATTCAAAGCCTCATCACCGCACAGCACAGCCACAAACTGCTGGGCTTAGAGAAGAGAAGTGACTGACTGCATCCAAATCATACATCTGTGAAAACATTCACATCAAAGTCATTCAAAATAAAAGCACAGCGCACTGGGACCTTGAGGCACCCTAACAAAGTAATAAACGGGAATTTTAAGAAATGCACTCCCTGCTAAACAATGCCCCGTCGTACTCCCGTAGTAATGAATGTGACTCATCTACAAATTCATTACACATTAATTCATTACATAACAGGTTCTACTCACATTTCACAGGGCCTGCATCCATACCAGGTGCAAAATAAAAACAGGAGACCAGATTGTAGGGTAAACACAACGTAGGCTTACAACACTGTATGGAAATAGTGAGGAGCACTTTGCAATTTGTCCAGACAAGCCTTTCTGCACACTCACACACACACACACACACACACACACACACACACACACACACACTACTCCTTGGCCGAGGCAGTAGAGGCGGGGGAATTCCTTCTTCACTCACATACTGAAACCCTCCCTTTCTCTCTCTCTCTCTCTCTTTCTCACTCCCTCTCTCTGTGGCGACCTTTATCTATGTATTTCAAAGCAGAGTCAATCCGCCCCTACAAACTCCATTTCCTGTGGAAGACCATTACCTAACTTCCCGTTACTTTATCCCCCCCTTCCCCTCTCTCTCTCTCTTTACTAGTATTACACGTTCATGCTTACCCCCTGTCTGCATCCTCTCCTCTCTCTCTCTCTTATATTGATTTCTACCTCTCATCTCTCCTTCCATCTGGTCTGCATCTTCTTTGTGCTGCAGTCATCCAGAAAAGCCAACGAGTTGTTCGGAATAATTGTTATTCCACACCAGAGTCATTCAGTTTCACTCTCAGACGAGCCCGAGTCATTCAGAATATCCTCCATTCTGCACCCATTCACAGTTTAGAAAGTACAAGAGATTGATTTTTTTCGGACTTGTGGAGCTGTTGTCATTTAACTGGTGTGTTTGCTGTGCGGCAGATACACATTGGGACTCGCCTCGGGTCCTGCTTGCTGTGTGCTCTGCCTCATTTCTTCCAATACAAGACTCTCCAGAGTGACGAGCACCAGAGAGCTGTTAACAACAAGTGTATAAGAGGGAGAATCGACACAAACCCTATATGCTCTGTCATCTTTTTGAGAATTCTCCCTGCAACTGAGATACTCGCTGTCAAACTGCTCTGGACTGATGTCTATCATCCACCGCCAGGCATGTCTACTTGTCTGGGGTCTGTTAACGCACATGTCTGCTTGTCTGTCCCTGTTTTTGCATTCGTCCTCCCACCTGTCTCTTTCTCTCTCTCTGTCTGTCTATTTCTTTTGCTTCCTTCCTGTTTTGTCTGCGAAGGCTTTCACTCATTCAGGTCCTTTTAATATCTGCCACATCAAATCGGCGGCAGAGAGAAATCCATTTTAAGAGATGAGCGCCGCGTGTCTCAAGGCCACACACGCAGCAAACACCTATTGTGATGATAGTTGATAGTTGCACAGCCACCACTGTGCCCTATGTAAATCCGTATTTAGGACAGACAGCCGTGGAGCAGTCACCATAAAATAATTTGGCAGCCGGCCTTACTTGGTCACGAAAGAGGTATGCTACGTGTGTTTACTCAGTAGTGTACTGTGTACAACAGCTGGTGTCAGAGTCATGGCCCTAATGATAACAGCTTAAAGACAAACTGACGCAACTCACACTCCCCTCTGTGAAATACGGAGCATGTATATGCCCATATGGGAGCTATAGTGGCCCGTGTTTCATGTTCAGTGATCAGTGCAGGGCACTTTCTACTCATCGGGTATATATATAGTACATAAGTACCAAGTACAGACATATTTACACTGCAGAACTGTGTTTACTCTCCTTTTTAGACTGACATGGGTACATAGTAAACATGGCTGCAGGTATTGCCACAAGGTGATGTAACGCAAAAACACGGAACACCATGTTCATGTGAATTATCATTTGTTTAATAACCACAACTGGTCTAAAAGAAACTAAAAAAACAACATGCAACGGATTCTTACACTGAGTATGAGACGAGTTGACTTGATAATGAACATTCAGGCCTCACGTGGACTAAATGACATGTTCGCTACAAATATTTGCCAGACATATTATAATACTACTACTAATGCTACCTCGCTCTATGTGCAGTGCCCTTGTCATGCTGCTGTAACACAGTGATATTCCAATTTGGGATCAATAAAGTACACATCTATCCATCTAATAAGTGATTTAAACTCTCACAGATATCTTCTGACCTTCTGCAGAGCTGATAAATAATCTTAAATCGACCCACGTCGAACTGCAGTACTTCTCTAAAGTGACTAACAGGGTTACTACTCTTGCTCTACTCCCATCCACAGGCCCCGGCTGCACATCCATGAATACAACATGTTGACACAGTTATAATCCGGAGTGGATAACAGCTGTTAACTTTATCTCGACGAGGCCCAAAGTTCAACATGCAAACTGCGGGGAGAGGATGTCGTCACCTGTGGTTTAGCTGGATAGTACCGTGTATGTGTCAAGCCCTTCGTAGTAGATTACAACCAGACCTGCTCCACAACAGCAGGGCCGAGGCCTCGACTACACACACAAGGCCGCTGGGGGATCTGCTCCTCACCGTCACCGGGGGAGGGGTGGGGGGGGGGGAAAGAACCGGTTCAGCGGACACACTGGGCCTTAATACCGTGTAATAGCTCCGGTACTACCCCGCGGTGCTGGGCGAGATGACCCCGAACACACGGCTAAGTTTGTCACCCAACACGACAGCGACGACAAACAGCGGACAAAGTGGGTCGGTGAGGCCCATCCGAGAGTGACGGTCGTCCGGGAGGAGAGGCGAAGCTCCCCCCCGGGCAAACTTTGGAGCTAAAGAAGCCTCGTCGAAGGGTTGAACGCGAGGGGGAGAAAGTGAAGTGAGGAAGAAGAGGAGGAAGAGGAGGAGGAGGAGGCCCTGAAATACACGTTAACTCCAAGAGGGAGAGATGTGTGAGGAAGAGGAGGGATGACAGGAGTTTGACATGACAGGAAGTCCAGCGGCAGTTATGGCGTTGAATTTATTTCTAGTGGAAAAGTTTCAGGCTCGCTCCGGGGCTCCGGCCGCACCGCTCCCTTTTTCTCTCCGCGCAGGAGACACCCGATCCGCCCTCCGCTTCGAGTCCGCGGGCCACGCGAGACACCGTGGGCAGCGCGCCTGCCGACACACCGCTGACACTTCGCCCGTCAGCGGCGGCGGCGTCGGCGGCTCGACGGCGGCACAACAAGCCGCTGCAGCGCCGCGGGACGGAGCTGCTACTCACCTCGGAGAATATAGTCCCCCTCCGGTGAGTCCGCCGGGTCACACGGGGCAGAGTGGCCGCGCGTCCGCAGCTGCCAGGCGGCGTCCGCTCATGTTTCCTCCGGCGAAGCAACTTGAAAACACCGGAGGAGAAAACTACTGCCCTGTGTGTTCTACACTACAGTCGCAAAATGGTGAATGAAGCCCGAAGCCTTGACAACCAGCCCGGGCGGCCAATCGCGGCGCACGAACGCGTACAGTAGCCAATGGGATCGCGAGGAAGGGTGGCCGGGGCGGGGCCCGGCGTCAAAGTAAAATTGACGGACGCGCCGCGGCGGCCAATCACGGTGTGGGAAAACACAGAACAGCTGTTGGGAGAGCCAGGCTGCGGCGGCCAATGGGGGTCCGCCGTGGGCACGTCTGAGACCCGCCCCCTTCTTCCTCTCATCCCTCCTTCATTTGTCTGCACACATGACGGGGGGGGGGGGGGGGGGGAGAGAAGGGGAGAGAGGGAGGGAGAGAAGGAGGAGGGAGAGAGGAGAGAGGGAAAGAGAGGAGGAGAGAGAGGGAGGAGGGAGGGTGGGAGAGTAAGAGAGGGAGAGAGGGAGAGAGAGGGAGAGAAGAGAGGGTGAGGGAGGAGAGCGTGTCTCTTTGTAAAGCAGGTGAAACTTTCTTTAGTTCAGATGTAATAGAGATCAAAATGATAGACAGATAGAGAAATAGATAGATAGACAGAATGATAGATAGATAAATAGATAAATAGATAGACAGATAGATAGACAGACAGATAGACAGACTGATAGATAGACAAATAGAAAGACAGACAGATAGATAGATAGATAGATAGA